CCAGGCCCGCCCGCCTCTGCTCACTCAAGCCGGCCTCCGCATACTCTAGGCCGCGGCTCACTCTAGCCGCCGGCCGCCGCTCACTCAAGGCCGCGGTGTGTGACGCAATAATGTTCTTTTTAGCAGCATCATATGACCCCTTTAAATTCAAATCACAGTGATCAAACAAGCTAAAGCAGTCATAGGTAGAGACTCATTTCCAGGGGTTAAATTGGGATTTGTTATGTGGGGGGGCTCTATAGTATCGAGCTTATATATATATATATATATATGTATATATATAATATGTGTGTGTGTTTCTGTTTTTTGCAAATATGATTTATTCTGAAGCAATATTCTCAAATAATATTATGATATTCTTTTAAATATTTTTGAATATACAAACAAGAAATGATGGTGGAAATGATACTTTTCAACGAAATTAAAACGCCAGTAGGTGCAAGTAGTGAGCGTTTAATAAGTGAGTCATTGAGTCGTTCATTCAACCGATTTGTTCAAAACACGGAATCAATCAGCAATGAATCGGCTGGTTGCTGTGAGATGTGCTGTTTCTGCCTAAAATGTAAGTGACCTAATATTATTGTATTTTCTTATTGAACTGTTTATAGAACTATTAAACAGTCGTAATGGTGAAAACGTTGTGTGATGTTGCCTAACTAACTGCATTTTAAATAAATATAAAAACTTTCCATTTTGGAATTTTTACCTCAGGATGCTGAGTTTCTTAGTGTTGTGCGTTTTGATTTCTCCTGGAGAGGCCGCGTGAGCCTCGCCTCAGCTGCGCAACCTTATTCCGTCAATAGATGCATTTTATACAGTAGCTGTATCCACTATTCGCCACTTACTCTAAATGTAATAAAATCAAAATAATACTTGCGTTTTGGTGTTTACATAGTTATTTTTGGTTACTGATGTTTTAATCATGTTATTTGTCTCTGGCGTTAATGAAGCGTTAATGTCGAGCCCTGGAGTCTATAGGGCTCAGCCCCGGCCCAATTTAAACCCTGCTCATTTCCCTTCGATATGTTGACATCCTGAGTACAGCTTCTTTCTAAACCAAGGCCAGTTTATTTAAAGCATCTCACATCGTGTGTCCTTAGGTTATTGCGATCAATACTAAAACTATTCTGAATCTGCTCTATGAAATGAAACTCTGTGAATATAAGATTGACTGCTTGTTATGTAAGCAAACTCTTGGTGTCATATTGAAATGTGTCTTTGAGAAACTCACTAGTTTGTAAAACTTCTGCTCTCAAAAGCGCCTCTGGACAAATTCCGATCAGCTCTATAAAATTTTCTGAAATGTGCCAGTCCACCAAAAACAGCTGTTTTGGCATCGTTCAGTGCTTCTGATGAATTTGTTCGGACAGTTTTCTTTGAAATGTGAAGTGTGGAAGATTCTCGTCTTCCATTGGTTGGCAAACAGATCGGCCCCGCCCCTAAACTCACCTCATTGGCTGAGCCAATGTTGCTGTTGTCGGGCTAGTTGGGATGTTCAAACAAACAGAGCAGTGTTTTGATAGTGGCACAGATAAGTCAACCTACAAATGTCTTAAAGATTCCTCTGCATAATACACTCTTAAAAATAAAGATGCTTCACGATGCCATAGATAGAAGAACCTTTTTGTAGAGGGCAGTGGACCATGAGTCTGCATGAACTGTGTGTGTTTTTTATTTGCATGTGTCATGTGCTTAAGCCCGTAACTAACAGCAGGTTTGCTTTGGGGTTTAATCTCTTGGCATGCTGACCATCATCTGCCCTGCTACAGAAAACCTGCTTCTACATAGGGAATTTAATGCTTAATAAAAAAACAATTATAATGTGGTGTTAGATCAGACATCTTTGTTCTTACTAAGGCCAATGACATTACGTCTTTAATTGATTTTTCCGTACATTTCTGTCATATAACTAACAGTCACCACTGATAAGCTACTACTAAATATTGTAGAAACTTAATTTGCTGTAAAGTTGCTTTGCAACGATTTGTATAATTAAAAGCGCTATACAAATAAACTTGAATTTAATTGAAAAAAAATGTTATTTTACCCTTGGTAAAAAGCTGATTTTTTTTTTTCTTCAAATGTACAGTAATTCATATCAGATCTCACACAAGTAAACATTCTTAAAGTGAAGAAATTGGTTTATTATATGCAATTTTATTTTGTTTATCTGTATATTTTATTCAAAAAGATAATTTTAGTTAATTTGAATAACACTTGTTAGAATTTGAGAGGCAATGATAAAACCACTATAAAGGTATTTTTAGTTTCAGTTGGCTTTGAAAACATTTTTTGTTCAAATCTATTTTATTTTAAATTTGATAAAACTAAAACAATTAGTTAAGTGTAAAAACAATTAGTAGTAAATTAGTAGTAGTAGTAGTAGTAAAATAATTAGTAACTAAGTATTTTTTAAAGACATCTCTTATGCTCATCAAGGCATTTATTTGATCAAAAATACAACACTAAAAAACAGTAATATTGTGAAATATTATTACAATTTAATGGTTATACAAATAATGGTTTTCTATTTAAATATACTTTAAAATATAATTTATTCCTGCGATGCAAATCGGAAATTACTCCAGTCTAAAGTGTCACACGATCCTTCAGAAATCATTATAATATGCTGATTTATTATCAGTGTTGGAAACCTATGATACTTTTTCAGGATTCTTTGATGAATAACAAATTTAAAGGAACAGCATTTATTCAAAATATAATTTTTTTAAGTAATAAAAATAAACAAATTACTAAAAAATCCATATCATCCATCTATCTATCTATCTATCTATCTATCTATCTATCTATCTATCTATCTATCTATCTGTCTGTCTGTCTGTCTGTCTGTCTGGCTTTGTCTCGCTTGAACAGACAGGTTTCATTTTAGTCTTTACTATCACTTTTTTATCAATTTAACACATGCTTGCTGAATAAAAGTATTCATTAAAAAGTATTAATAGTATTAAAAAAAGAAAGAAAAAATACTGACCCCAAGCTTTTGAATGATAGTGTATATTGAACAATAGTGTATATTGTTTTCACACACACACACACAAAAATAAATTGTAAGATCAAACTGGAATGTATGATCCCCTGCATGAATGTGCACGTTTTTTATTTTGCCAATGTTTTAAAAATGTGTTGCCTTTTTCTATGTATTGTATTTTTCTTTGGAAAAAGTAGATTTCAGTACAGTATGTTTTCAGTGTTTGTTTTTTCTGTCGGTAGGAGTGGTCCTCCTGTATGATCCGGTCACGGTGACTTTCCTCTGGGGACGTCTTTGGCTTCTTATTGTAATTCATGTAGATGTCAATGGTTGCGACTCCACAGCCAGCTGATAACATCTGGTTTTCACATGCTCCTTGACGCACATTGTTCTTCCTGTAGAACACACTCGACAAGGATGTGTGAGCGCTTGAAATGAAAAAAGTACTAATTTCTGTTGTTCTGCGGTTTACGGCACGCTGCCTGTCAAACATTGTGACTATATTAACTTCAGCTAATCGGCTTCAGACTTACACCAGCACATCCTGAATACATCCCCAAAATGTCAGTAGCAACTCATCGCCGTTGTTTGTAGCCCACAGCAAGTTTCCTCACAAGACTTAACAGGGTCTGATAAAGAGAAGTCAATGGTAATGCAGTCTTTTGTGTACGTGTACAGAGGAACTTTTGTTCATCTACAGACTTCATCGGGCTTTAGGGTGACCCTCAGTAGATCAGTAGAGAATAGAAGCACTCGAGTGCTCTTTTGTAAAGCCAAGGGCATAAAAGAATGGCTTGTTTGAAGGAGCGGATACAAACCAGAGGCTGTGTTGATGGCTAAAGGTCATCTCTAAGGAAGCAGCTGTACAGACGGTCAGTCTGAAGGGTCGGGCCACTGATGCACTTTGTGACTTACCGATATCCCGAATGTGAATTTTGCAAATTATATGCATGTCGCTGTGATTTGTAGTGCTCCTGTGCTTTCTTCTCTTTCCTCACAGATGAGATTATGCAGCAGGAGATCAGGCCGCTACTGGCTGTCGACATAATCGAACAACTTCATAGGCAGTTTGCGCTTCTTTCAGGTGAGAAATGGAAATGTCCGTTTGCTCTTTAGGTTGGGATAAAAGGGCGTGTTGTTTTTTTTAAAAAAGCTATCTACTTTCCTTCTCTATAGCTGTTGGTGGTGCCTTTGAACTTTGACCCTTTCTCGTTTGTGGGTCTGGTTTCTGAGGTGGCGCTTAATTGATGTTAATGCACGCAAATCACATCCACTCATGTCAGTACTGTCGTACAATTCCCAGCCCTCCCATTTCCTCTGATGCTCATTAGCGCTTACAGTCAGAGAAAACAGACTTCTGCTGTCTCATTTTCCCATGATCCCATGATAGTCACACTGACGGGAGAATTGAGAGAATATTCCAGCCATAAATGTTTCTTACAGGCCATGATCATTTTTATTCACGATGAGCCAGTCTCTGTTACTTGAGTGAAAAGACATCCCGCCCCCCCCCCAAAAAAATCTTCATAATGCACAATATATCGATTCCATGTTGATTATCTGACAACATTATAGATTTTTCAGTTTATTGGTATTGGTCGATTTTGGATATTTAACTGTGCAAGCGCATTTTTTATTTAATTTAATAATTATAATATTTTATTAATTAAATTATAAAATAATTAAAATCTATTAAATATTAATATTAAATTATACAATAATTTAATCATTTCTAAAATTAATTTGATAACACTTGACACTGTTTAGCAAATCTCTAAATGAATATCCATTTCCATACTGTACATTATGATGTTATGATTCATTTTTAGTGTTTAATTTATACATAATAGTATGGGATGTTGATACCAGCTATTTGTCGCTTATTAGCCATAAAAAAATCTTTGTAAGCTATCATTTTAATATTGCTACATCGTTACAATATATTTTAGTGGCTTCCAGAAATCTCTAACATATTCGTCGCCACATGGATGATGCTAGATAAATCTTTGATGGTACATGTGACCAATGAAGTAAACATGTTTTTCTTTTGTAGATTGTAAGTCTTTTATTTAATTCGCTTGCATAACTCAAGTCGGCAAGATCAGACTCATTCTTATAGTTTGATTTAATGAAACCATTTATTATTTTATAGTTTCTCATTAAATTACCAGCCAATTTATTTCATTTAACACTTACAGTTACAAATGGCTTTGGTGAGTTTTTTTTTTAAAACTTCTTTGTTTGCCAGCTCAGGTCTTTAACCACTAGGCTACGCCACAGTCCTGCTTTCTATGTCTCAGATGAAAATGAAACAATCAGGGAACCGCTCAAGCTGGTGACTACTGTTTGCAACATATATAAAGTGAATTTGACTCTATTTATTATTCATTTTAACCAGCCTTTGTCATGAAGTTGCCAAGTGGTACTGAAGCAATGTTAACTATACAAAACAAGTAATATTAGCTAATAAAACAGCAGTGTTTACCGCTTTCAGCGCACACAGAGCTCTCTGAAAACAGAGTGGAAAAACTTACACGCTGAACTGATGTAAGTGGGAGGGACCTTACTACAGACTCGCTGCTCCTTGGAGAGCTTTTCCATTCCTTCCCACCCCAGTCAGATCTCCTGAGGCCTGGCCTGCCTCCTCATCTGCCGAGACGCCTGCACCAGCCATCAAAACTGCACCAGTTACATAATGTTACAGAGAAAAGCAATCCCAGCATACTTTGTGCAATCTATTTAGCTGGCTCCTCTGGTCTTAGGTGCCGCTGTCTGCTGAAAAGCATGGTGTCGTCCATTAGGACTCTGTGAATCATCCATCAGAAATTTAATAGAGTAGACTTCAAATGTGTCTCGTTCATAGATAGATAGATAGATAGTATGGATTTTTTTGTGATTTGTTTATTTTGATTACATTAAATGATTACATTACATTATATATATATATATATATATATATCTTGCTCATCAAGGCTGCATTTCAAAAATAGAGAAAAAAACTGTAATATTTTGTGAAATATTATTAAAAATATAAATACTATATTTATATTACAAATATATAAATATTATAAAAATTTTAAACAACAGTTTAACATTTTATTATACTTTAAAATATATATTATTCCTGTGATGCAAAGCTTAATTTTCATCAGCAATTATTCATCAGCCATCTAGTCTTCAGTGTCGCATTATCCTTCAAAAATCATTCTGATTTATTATCAATGTTGGAAACTGCTACTTGTGCTACTTAATATATATATTTTTTGTTA